ATACACCTCTAGAACCGGGCCAGAAACTAAGTGAGGATCAAAGGGGAGAGCCAGTGGATAGGGGGAGATACCAGAGGCTAGTGGGTAAGCCCATATACTTATTCCACTCGCGTCCAGACATTGCCATTGAAGTGAGTATGGTTAGCCAGTTTATGCATGCTCCTAGAACTTCCCATTTAGAGGCAATTATGAGAATCCTGAGGTACATGAAGTCTTCTCCTGGAAAGGGTCTCTATTTCTCGAAACATGGACATCTCAGTATGAAGACATTTACTGATGCGGATTAGGCTAGATCAGTCATTGACAGAAGATCCACTTCTGGATATTGCACATTTGTTGGGGGCAACCTTGTCACATAGCGCAGTAAGAAACAAAATGTGGTTGCCAGATCTAGGGCTGAGGCAGAATTTAGGGCTATGGCCCAGGGTATATGTGAATTGTTATGGATTAGACTATTGTTGGGAGACTTGGAGATCCATCAGATTGATTCCATGAGATTGTACTATGACAACAAGGTGGCGATCAACATAGCTCACAATCCAGTTCAACATGACAGAACCAAGCATGTGAAGATTGATAGGCACTTCATCAAGGAAAAGCTCACTAGTGACACCATATGTACTCCATTTGTGAAGAATGGAGACCAACTAGCAGATGTTCTCACCAAAGGAATAGAGAGCAAACCATTTCATGACATTCTCAACAAACTGGGCATGAGAGATATCTTCGCACTAACTTGAGGGAGAGTGTCAGAATAGGAAATTATATTCACATATTTTATTCTGATTTGTTTTTATTCCTTGATTGATGAAATGGGCTGTAATGGGTTAGCCCGTAATTCATGCCTAATGGCACTCTTGTAATTAAGCTTTATTATTAATATTAAAGGGGGTGAGGTCTCACTCATTCCCAAACTCTTTCTCTTCTCCAAACTTTCAATAACTATTCTTAGTAGTCTAATGTTATGAAAACTTTCATCATGTAAGAGGGCAAGGAAAAGGAAAAATTGTAGGCTATTAGTATCCGGCACAATGGTGACGACAATTCTTATTATTGGTCTAATTTTTGTGAAAAACTTACTTCTTGGAAAAGGGCAATGGAGTTATGTGACAGGCACAACAGTAGGTCTGCTGATTCTAAGGTTGAGGGATATCAAAAAACTATTGATACATGGGATATAAAGAATGCACAGATTCTTTTGTGGTTACACAAATATGCGGAACCAAGTATTGGTATGAACTCAAATTATGACACAGCAAAAAAGGTTTGGGGTTATGTAGAGAGTATGTAAGAGTCAAATTTTGCCAAGCAATAAGTTAGATATGTCCATTTGGAGTGTAGCACAAAAGGATTAATACATTCAGGAGTTCTATAATGTGATGACAAATTATTGGGATCAGTTGGCACTTGTGGAATCACTAGATTTACAGATATTGGACGGTTATATGCATTATAGAGAGAAGCAGAAATGTGTAGTTTTTATTGCCTTTAGAGTGCCTCTCCTTCTCAGTCTGTGTTTGTAGCTTCTTCTGCTCAACCTCCATTATTACCTACTCCATCTACTCCTCTCCTTTAGGTCATAGCGAAAACAAAACCTAATGGTGCTTCAGATAAGTGCAGTTGTTGTCAAAAGGGCTATTGGAAGATTGTGGGCCCAAAACTTACACATCAGAAGAGACATATCTCTTCTCAATCTTACTCCCGATCATCCTTTTAGCCATCTTCTAATTCTACTAATAGCTCTTGGCCTCCAACAGCTGTCATCCCACCCATTCCCAGCAGCATCTCACCTGCCATAGTGCAGTTTACTCTTGTGCATTTAACAAAATTACGATTCATGCTTGCATCAACATCTTCTGTGACTCAGCCCATGCTTCTACTATGACTGCTCCACGCTCAAGTTTACATGGTTCTTATATCGCAAGTATTTTCTCCACCACTTGGAAATTTGTCCATTCTCAGCGATTGTTGTTCTCCCTCTTTTTTTCATTTTTCTTTTGATTGGTAATAAAAATAATTTTATTAAATAAGAATAAAATAAGTACACAGAGGACAATAGGTTCTCTTAAGATTACACATAAAACACAGAGATCAGCACCAACCCAAAACAAAGCATAAAACAAAATCTATGTTTAACACACTTTCCAATTATTGGATATCAAAAATAGCGGGACCCCTTTAAATGGGGACGACACTGAGGAAGATTCTCCTATGAATGTTGTCTCCATTGGCTTTGTTCTTCCATCTTCATCTTCATTTTTGTCTATCCCTATCATTTTCAGTGTACCCCAGTTGTCTATAATTTTAATATCTGTTAGTCCAAGCCTTTTGTAAAAGGAAAAGCCTCGAGTCTTCATCTTTGACGATGATGGAGAAAAAGGCGTAGCCTTGGATTGATGATTAAACTGAACTATCTATCTACTTAGAAGATGACCTAGGCTAAGATTGGGCCCCATGATCACAAGAAATGGGCTTGAACTAAATATTATTCTCTATTATCTGTTTAAACGATTAGTCGGACCTGGAATAGGTCTTATTGCTGCCTGGAAGAGAACCTTCCTCCAGTCATCTCATTGTTTTCAATAATCCATACTTGTAGCAATCAAATAGTATCGTTCCTCCCTCAAGTGATAAATGATTGATTAAGCTATAACTATCTTTAAATGCTATATAATGGGCCTAGACTGACCGGAACAACTACCATTAATAATATCCTCATAAAGGCCATAACTAGGCCAACCCAATTTCTTATCCTCCTCCTAGGACATCTCAACCACCCTCTGATCCGAACCCAGTTCAAAAACCCAACAATCTCGCTTCCCAAAGCTTCCACTATGTAATGCACTCTGGATCATAGAAGTACTCCCACAACCAACTGCATCAAACTGAGCATCTATAAAGCCATCATTTACACTCCCATGATCACACCTATCCACGTGCTTACTAGCTGTCACTCGCATCATCTCCATCTCCGATACCCTTTCTCTGTTAATTGGCTCTATAGGGCTATCTTCACCACCATTTGAGCACAAAGTAACAATCTGATCAATCCAATCCATCACTTCAGTGGCCTTTTCACAGAAGCCTCCAACTCCCTCAGTCAGCCCATCAAAACCCACCCTAGAAACTTCATCCCTTTTTCACAAAAATAAAAATCCCACCCCTTTCTCTGTTAATTGGCTCTATAGGGCTATCTTCACCACCATTGGACCACAAAGTAACAATCTGATCAATCCAATCCATCACTTCAGTGGCCTTCTTCACCGAAGCCTCCAACTCCCTCAGAAAGCCCATCAAAACCCACCCTAGAAACTTCATCCCTTTTTTGCAAAAATAAAAAATCCCATCACCATCTCCATCGCATCCACCCCTGTTAATAGTCAGTCTAACCGCCAATCATGTAATTTTGATGCCATACCGAGAGACACTAGCCCAATCTCCTTTAACTTCAGACCCCATTTCGAACCACCATCTAATCCATAATCCATCAATATCGCCGCCACCCCAAAACAAATACACCCATAACCAACTCAAGACAACACACATTATCTCTCCTTCGCAGATGACTAACCCTAATGTCCATGAACCTCTCCTCTCCATTATGGAAATTCCAGCACATCGCCCCCGACAAAGCCCTCATTAGCAATTCACTGAACCATTTAACCTCAAACCACAAAAGAGTTACAGACCTCTGCAATCTCCTCTCATATTCCACCACCTACAGTCGTCCCCCATCCTTGCCAACACAAATAAAATTAAATGTCCAACCTATCTTAACAGATCTTCTCATTGTCTTCCCCTTATGAATAAAAATCCATTATGCGTGCCAAATATCAACCTCAACAAGTTGAAAATGAAATTGAAGTAGATGAAAGACAAAGGAAACCTCTTAGCAAGTCAGAAAAAATAAGAAAATTCGAGAACAAAATTGAAGAAGACGACACAAAAACAAAAATCTGATGAAACGACACAGCAGAGAAAGAACTAAACCTAACCCTAAATCAAAACAAAAAACAAACAAACAAAAAAATGCGACAAGGAAACGCAAGGATCATAACAAAAAAGAAGAAAAGGGAACATAAATCACAAAGAAATAATCCAGCAATCGAAAATAAAAGCCCAAGAGGGCTGATCAAAGCCCTAAACTGGCCCCAGAGAGAAAGAGAGAAATCATTTCCAATACAATAATTGGCAGAAAGGACTCTCTTACATATAGCTAATCAATCAAAAACTTCTATTCTTGTTTTACATAATGAGGCTATATATTGGCTCCAAATCTCAAGTAATAACCTTCTAAAAGAATGTCCCAAGCAACATAGTAACCTCTAGAACCTAATTTTGACTACATTTGTTATAAGAGTCTTATATGCAAATATTACCGTGTTCCTGCATTATTATGAATTTGTCAGCCTCTGTTATCCATGATAAATATATATATATATATATATATATTTTTTCTATCCCTATATATCAATGATTATATCGATGTTGTAATGGAAATTACAATTACATTATATCAGTCAACAGAAATCATGAACAAAAAAAAAAAAAAAAAAAAAAAAAAAAAAAAGAAATTAAAACATTCCTCGGGTCCAATTATGGGCAAAAGACACAATGGTTGCCTAATTATTCAAAGTACACTATCGCTTAGTTTTGTCAATAAATGACAGATTTGAATACAAGGGAGAATATAGAAAAGGTTCCATACTCATATGAAGTCAAAGTCTACATAAAAAGATGTGACCAGTAGACAGTGGTTTATATCAAACAGTTAACAAATAAATATTAGTCCTCAATTTTAGAATATCCTCAGCTGGGATTTAATTTTTCACACATTTCAAAGATATCTCTCAATGCTTGAATTAGTACAAAAGAGCATCATATTTTGATCGTCATTAATCATAACTTCACCATAGACCAAAATACCAAGAATCTTAAGTGGACTTTTCAATTTGCCTAGAAAAGAATCTAGGATTCTAATTGCTGTGAAAGAAACTGACCTAAAAGAGAGCATGTCACGTACTTTTGGAGCTTTTGGCATATTCATAAATAAGGAGTTCGTAAAGAAAGTCATACGGCGACGAGCTTCCAGATTCATTGGCACATTTATGGCAGATTCCTTTTCAGTCAAAAGCAACTGAAGCCTACGAACCTACACCACAAAATAAAAAGAGAAGGGAAAAGATGATTCAACAAATTTTAACATTTTATTCCAAACAAAAATTTGAGGACAAAAGTACCTTATCCTTCCAACTTCTGCTTTTTGTGAGGTCAATATCTATCTTTTCAAAAAACTGCTCTTTTTTCAGGATACTACAAGGAAAGGAAACCCAGATAATATGCAATATGCATGTTCATCCTGTAATAGAAGTCCTTCAAGCAATTTTAAATACATCCAAAATAGACTTTTTTCCCATACTTACTCATGCGCATCAATCATAATATCCTTAAGGATAATCTCCACAATGTCCTGGAGTACATTGATGATTTGGGATTTGTGTATCTCTTCTAGGTCGATATTTTCATCTTCCAAAATTCTTTTTTGAACAGCTTTCTTTTCATCTTCGTCTAGCTGTCAAAGCTCCAAATTATGCTCTCAGAATCCTGAATTCAGAGCTAGCAGTCCAACTACTAAAGAAACAAAAGAAAATCAATTACCAAATTTTTTAGAAACTTCTCCAATTTATCACTGAGCAATGACATCCCACTCATCCGGAATCGACGGAGAAACTTTGTCTGTCGGATACTATCTTCTACTTCATCACATATCAGGTCAATGACCCTGCACAGGACAGAACAAAACCCAAACTGTCACAAGGCTTCAAAGAAAGATATAGTGGAAGAAAAATGTTCACTAAGGTTCTGCAGCATCAGAAGTGAGATTGGATTAGCCTTACATCTTATCCCCTTCCTCCTGCAGAAGACTGCTTAATATCTCCTTCAATGTCTCATAGCACTCAATTACTGCTGCATACATATACTCATCATTCTTAATCTTCTTAATCAACTCAGTGTCCTCCTTTTCCTTGAAGTCTTTTGCCATGTCTAATGCTATAGGAATCTTATGTGAATAAACAACAAAATAAGAGAGTTAATACAGGAAGTGCAATAAATTTATATGAACAGTATATAACTGTCAAAGCACCCACCTTGCTAGCAAGCAAGAAAGGAGGCCACTGGACAACAGTGACTTCACTTGATGAATCTGGTACAAGCAGCAGATCTCTTTCTCTGGAAAATTAGAAGCCAAAACAGAAAGAACATATGAATTTCAATTTGATGCCTGCAATATGTAGCATACAGGTTTAAGAAGTAAGCATCCTCAACCTATCGCTGATCAAGTCCTCCATCCGCATAGAAAATATGAATTCATTCCACATCTGAGAAAATTGTGCAATGTTCTTTCTTTCTGATGAACCAGCCTGCTATAGCAATTGTTCACTTTAGCCAAAGCAGTAGATAATGATATGAAAGCCTCCAAGTCATATTTTAATCTCTTGCATGTATACTGGGATTAACATCTGAAGAGAATTAGAGATTTAAGAGAATACAAACAAAGATAATCTACCATGCGATGCCTTTTGCTTTTCCCTTCTGTTGATGGCACAAGACAGTCACTGAAAGCTAAATGGACAGAATCAAATCTGGACCGTAACATTCCAAGTGTCCGTATCTAAGAAAAAGCAAATAGGTATACTACAAAAGTCAAGAACAAGCATATCAATTCTATATTGCAATCCCGTGATTTGACAACAAAATTTGCCACCAACCTCACCCAGGTGGCTGAAGGCTCCATAAATGCCACCGACAATTGTAGAGAATATAGCATACCATATTTGTGTATCCATGAAATAAACCTATGCACCAACAGATTTTTAATATTTTTCATAATAAAGAAAAGGGAAATAAAATTGTCATTCTATTGCATGTTCTCCAATCACATACCAGGACAATTGGAGCCCATATAGCAATAACAACACCAATATTTCGAGTTGCTGCATCAGTTTTAGAATGTAACTTAATTCAGGCCATAGTGTAACAGAAACAAAAAAAATCAGGAGATAATTAGCCAGCAATTGAAATGTTACCATTCGGAAAAAACTCGTGCCAATCATAGTTAGTGACTTTGACCCCCATGATTACCTTTGTCGGTTTAACTAACGGCAATATCTATTTCACACACACAAAAAAAAAAAAAAAACAGGATTAAAACTTAAAAACTAGGCAAAATAAATCTTAAGAAAACAATTGTGCACATTTCATCGGAAATCACAAAAATATTATATTAATAAAAAAAGAAGTGCAAAAGGAGTTCAGAGAACTAGGGGAATACAATGTCCACCGAAAAAACAAAGGAAAATAGAAGAAGTAAAACTATCTAAATACAGATCTCCAATCCTGTAGAAACATTTTATATTATTAAAAAAAAAAAACCCTTAAAAGGAGATGCCGAAACCAAATAACAAATTTTATCCCACAATCCCCTAAATCTTCACTTTTATCTTTAAAAAACTCCTACCTAACCAAACAACCAAAAGAACAGTGAATACCACACAACTCCAAAAAGCCCTTGCCTTATCATTCAACCCAAAGCCTCTAAAATCAATTGCAAAATGTTTGAACACAAGGAGATACCACCCAATCTGACTCTGCTATCCAAAACACCATCCAGCATAATGACGAAGTAATAGGGTAATGCAAAAACAAATGGTCAGTGTTTTCCAAAAGAAACTAACTAAAAATAAATCAGCAAAAGACTAGATCTATGTTGTGTTAGGCTCCAGGGATCATTAGACATCAGTCTCTCAACTTCACAACTGTGGTTATATATGTGTTACATTGATTTGATATGAGTTCCATATATCTTATAAACCCAACTCTCATGTTTCCAAAAATATTATAATATGACCCCCAAAATTAGCTTCGAAAAATAAAATAAGACCCCGTCATGTCCTGGAGTGTGTCCACCATGTCTCATAAAAGAAATATTAAAAAAAATGGACAACCCACGTGGTGTGTCCCATCGTGTTCAACACAGCGATGACACCTATTTTGAAGTGTCAGTGCCTCATAGCTAGTCAATGATGAACCATTTTTATGGCCAACTCTTGAGCTGAATGCCACGTGTTAAATTACTTAATTTTCCTATATCTAAACTCATGATTTTTCAGGCCATATTATCAATGTTTTGTATAGTGGCAACATTGTCTATGTCCTTGTTACCTTGCCTTCATGAAATTATTGAATCGCATGCACACTTACACGCATGTGCATAATTCTATTACCTTCATATTTATTGAAGATCACAAAATCTTCCAAGTCTTTCTAGATACACACACGTGTGTGTGTGTGTGTGTGTGTGTGTACATATGTAAGCATATATGAGTCTGCAATGAGACCAACAGATCTAAGCCTAATGCCTCTCGGTTTATGTCGTCCATAAATTAACAGGTTCTACCCTTTATGGCATATGCTGGGCTATATAATTGAAACAGATAGAATGCAGTATTTTGTAAGAAAATGATGAAACTAAATTTAGAAATCCTAAGTTACAGTTTAAAGTCGATATTGTAATAAGAATAAATATATGCATACACACGTGAGTGCATATATCACATATTCATATATTTATTTATACATGTATATCATATTGGTCGCAATTCTTACTTCTTTGAATCCACAAAACTAGAAAACTCACATAATTAATATTAATGGAGAACAAGATTACCTCCACATAGTAACTGAAAGCTAACTTGCTTATTAGCAGCATGATCCAAAACAGTGTATACCTGAGCATATGAAATTTATTTTGTTAATAGGACCCAAAAAAAATACAAAAAAGTAAAGAAAAAAAAACCGAATTTGCTTTCTTACTTCAGAAGTGCAAACATGCCTTCATGCATTCCTCTTCCAACATACAGCTTCGGCTGCAGTACAATAAACAAGAGATAGGATCATACAAAGTGACAATAGCTTCTATAGAAAGTGACAAATGCTAGATGTGCTTGCCTGAGCCCACCACATCATAAGAACAACAATATGCCAGTTTGAACGCTCCAAAAATCTCCGTAAAAATGGAAGTAAAAATAGCAAGGCAGCCAATATATTCGGTATCAAATATATAGCAACACAATAGTTATAAAATGACTGGGCCCGCCAATCTCCCGTCCATTGACTGAAGAATTTCACTAGTCCTGTTGGATTCTGCACAGATTTGGAATAAGCTATTGGCAGGACTACAAGCCAAAAAGCTGCAACTACAAATTTCAGGAGGTAGCGAAGTATCTGACTAAATCCCAAGCTTCTCCAGGCATACCAACTAAGGATTATATCCAGAGTAGCTGCATAACAGATGGTAGAGAATATTAAATATTACAGAAAAGTCATGCAAACTCAAACAGAATACAGAAGGTGCAAAAGTTATGTTGCATGAACTCAGGTACAAGTATGGGGTGCGGGTACATGCCCAAGTGTTAGATCTTCGTAAACCTAAATCTTAGGATATTGGGATAAGCATCCAAAAGTTGGTTATAGGTATGGCGACACATCTTAAACTCTCGTATATATTGCATACTATATAATATTCTTCGATAAAAAAGGTGTTGTAACCAATTTAGAAATGTACATCCAATTAATGGGATTTAGGAAAAACATGGAATTTATATCTCCCATTCATGTGAGATAAGCTAAAAAAGTTTCTTCACTAGCAAATGTGGGTGTCTTCTTCAAATATCATATGAAATTAGAGGATTCAAGCACCTAAATTACGTACGGGATGCTGGACACATATCCCACTCCCTTTTCCTAGTCATACCGGTGGACATGAGTATATTGGAGAAGTAGAAGAATCTATTAACACCACTAACTGCTACATTTTGAGTAGGTGAATAGATTTACAATCCCAAAAGCAATAAAATCAAGAAACTATCTCCCAGTCAGCCGAAATTTTGACATAGTACAAGAACTACAGTTGCTACAGTCAATGAAATTTTACATGCTACAAGAACATAAACTGAGAATACAACAACTACCTTGCAAAAAATTCAGAAAAGCAGAAGTAATGAAAATGCTCAACACATTTTTGGAGACATCCTCATTAAAAAGATTACTAAGAGATCCACTCCATGCAACAATTAACATAGCCTGAAACCAACAAATCACTATTGATGTTAATTCATTACAGTGAAAAAGACCAAGCAAGTTTGCAGACATTAATGGTACCTGGAAAGCCAATATATAGAATATCCACAATCGGTCAAAACTTCTATAAAGGTGACAAAACGTGCGGGCTTCAACAAAATTCGTCTTAGGATTCCTCTTCCCTGTAGTCCTCTGATTTTGTCCCTGCAAATACATGCTGACATTACTGCAAACTTTTCAGAGATTGCATTGAGAATTGATGGTGCCACTACAAATCTTACCATGATTGAAAGATCTTTTATTGTTTTTTTATTAAGTACAATGACCAAAATATCACAATCCAAGCGAGGGGAATGAACATGGTATATAATTATTACCAGAAACTCTAGATTATGCATGTGATTTCATTCACGGGCAAATAGTTCCAGCAATTTTTGTCAGATTTCTTACATTTCTTCACACTTGGAAATCTTAATTTCGCTTTCAGGGGGAGCTTATATGTTTTCTGACCTACACAAGCAGTAATTTTTGTTTTCTACTTTCAAAAAGCAATGGTTATCATGGATCATATATTACACAGGTATAAATTATATTTTTCTCTAGACTCTAGAGGTTTCATAGAATACACAAATTCAAAATCGGGCATTTCCGGACACAAATCATTTACATGATTTAATATGAGCAATTTTACCAAAGAAAATTCAAAGAGGAGATTACATTGAACTTAAAATAGAAGCAAGTAAAATGTATTGAAGTGGAAAGAATTCGAGGTCCACAAATATGAATATATCAATTGAGATATTAACAAAAAATTTGATTGAGAGAGAGAGAGAGAGAGAGCTAATCTGAACATTTAAATAAAGAAAAAAAAAAGTAAAAATAAAAAATAAACTGAATTAAACTGATTCTATTCTCAATTTTCTCTTGTCATACTATGCTCATATATCCTTTGAACATTTGTAGTAACAATTTTCTGCATGGAAGAAACTTATAATATCAGGGAACTAAATAGTAACTCCTTAAACGACAACCAGATGGCTTATATGTTAAATACTGAAAACAAGACAAATCAACTAAGGCCCAGATCATCATGAGAGAGCTCTCTAGAATTTTCAGGACAGTTAAATAATCACAGAAGTATAAACACCAAGAAATACAAAGAAATCAGGCAAAGAGTTAACTTCTCTTTAAGCATGCTGAATAGCTAAAACACACTCTCTCTCCCACATTCAAAATCAATCAAGTCAATCGAGAACAGATCATGAAGTATTCACATTCGCAAAACCAAAAACACAACTCACAACTATCTCACACACTGCACCTCTAATGAACAAATACAGTTAGAAAGATAAAAGGAGTCCTTCCCCAAGAGCTCTACGCTCAACGAGATTATTGAAAAGGACTTTAATAGAAATGAGAATCAAGAGGCAAAACAACTCCCATAAAATTATGACCACAGCATCGCTTGGATTCAACTAAGATATACCACCAACATCAAGTTTTAAGGCAACCTACCATATGCAGATTCAAACTCCCAACCGATTTCATTAGGCTAACAACATCAACATAATGTCATCAAAATCATTTACAAGATGACTTCTACATAAGAAATTACAATTACCAATCCTAATTGAAGATTTTAGAGTAAGGTTAAAATGCCAAAGTATTGATGCTATATTATTGACATCAAAATATTTTATTCCATGCGAATACTATTCAAATTTTACTGTCATGTCCAAAGTAAAAGGCATTTAGTAAATAAACATCAAAGTTTACTATATGTTGCAAAGAAGCGAGACATTATCAAGTCCTCAGAATTTGATCCCACCCCCAAAAAAAACCCTCCAAATTTGGAAGTTCTTTTAAAGGATACATTCTGATTTCGCAAAGCAACTTGGCAAAGAGAAAAGGTCAATGACATTGGTAAGTGTTTTGGAACATTAAGAAAATAGCATTAATATTGTTAGCATAACAACAAATGGTCAAATTAGTGTATGAGTACTGGGTACGAGAATAAGAGTCTGTGTCTTGAGCCGTCAATTTATCCAAATAATGCTACAGATTAACTATGTACACAAACAATCCCTCCCAGCTTCCTCATTTAAAGGGAATGCACACCAGTGATTTCCTTTGACATTGAGCATAGCAAATTTGTTTCGAGAATTATTTCAAAACTTTCATATGAATGTTAACAATCATATCCTTTATCTGAGATAAGGAATAAGCTATTGATGAAAAGGATAAAAAAACAATCACAATATTGAAAATAAAGATGTACCAATGGGCATGTCATAAAGATAAATTGAGATTATTTATAAATAACAAAAAAAAAAAAAAAAGATAAAATGAGGTTTTAAGAACTGTTAATAGAGATATCAATGCTGATTTCGAATTAAATATTGCAAATAAATTACATTTAGGAAATTCATAGTGCATGGGGTACACAACGGGTGTATATCACCAAGTACATAAAGAAGAAAACAATTACTCCAGTTGCACCAATACTTAACAAGGTTCATATATAACAATAAAAGGCCTTCAAGACGTATACAAAATTAAAACATTTTGTTGTGAAGGACGTGACTGTGATATCTTGCAATCTCTTTGATATATTACTTAATATATCATATGTTTCATAAATGTGAAGACCTTTTTATAAAAAAATGATGTGATATGTTATTTATCAATTATCATGATAATTGTAATATCCACACTAAGTTGTGATTTTAAAACTCATCGACGTAGTTTATTGCATCTCTCTGATAATCCATAGAGATCAATATAGGACGATAAATTAAGATATCTTAAATCCATGCTCCTACATATTTGAGATACTAAGGGAGAAATTGATGTATTAAAATAATTCATGATTAGAGGTCTGCATTAAAATGGTTATTCACATCCTGTTCTATATTATTTTATTTATTCTTTTTCGCTATTTCATCTACCAGTCATAGTACTAGAAAATCTTAATTTCAATTCACATCTAGGTGTATTCATCCAAATATCCAATATCTAGTAGGACTATCAATTAATAGTTATTAAGAGCTGTCTTTAGGTAAATTATGGACTAGCATCCACATTAAGATCTTCATCATTTTCATTCTGTTTAAGTTCACTGGTATTAAATTTCAGCATCAATTCTGTTCCTTCCTGACATAAAGAAAACTTAATCCCTTCAGATTTGCTCTCTTCTTTTTTTTTCTTCTCTGTACTTGCATTATAAACGAGACTGTAAGCTAAATAAACATATCTGCATACAGCTCAGCAAAATATTTTCCCTGTTAAATACAATAACCACATTGAAAACATTGATTGAAACAAAACTACGAGGACTAAATCAGAATTCCAGATTCTGTGTGGATGAATTTAAATACCACATTTGAAGGTTGTTTCTCATCGGAATTCACAAAAAAATCTGCTTTGCGGTTCATCGGCCAACCCAATTTAAAACATTTCTTGGACCTGGAAAAAGGACAGATGCCTCAGCAACTAATAATCCTTTTCAGCATTAAAAAAATTACATTCAAAAAAATTACCAGAAATATTCATTTAAATCATCATAATTCCTCCATGATGAATGACTTGCTTTGCCCTCTTTGTTTCTCCCAGCTTCCTTTTTCACCAAACAAAGATCAATTAAGAGACCAATTTGCATAAAGATACAAACATAAATAGAGCAGCAATCAAGAAATATATTAGCTACCTTGAGCATGACCTCATAAATAGGGGTTATAACATCCCGCAAAAATGACTCTTCACCATGTGGTGCTGTTTGATATGTGCCTCCAGTGACAAGATGGCCATTGCTAAATAAAATCTCATGAATCTCGTTTGCCATCTTATGTATTTGAAGGGAAAAAAAAAAAAGTTATTTTCATACAAAAAGAAAACCATAAAACAAAATTATTTGTCCAGCTATGAAAATTTGTAAGAGTGAGGAAGATTCATAAACAAATCCTGAGCATAAGATTTTGGCATTACTATGGTTACTATCAACTGTCGCTCCCTCCACAAACATTATTGCAGGTCCAAAATGAAAACAAAATAACCTAGTTTACCCATGCAACAAGACTACTCCGTACAGTCAAAACAATGACAAAAATCACAGTTTAAAATTCATCTCCGCTGTAGCTGAATGAAAGTTTGCAAACATAAGAAGTGTTAAGCCACGAATGATGTTATCATATCTAAATGTGATGGGCTTAGAAGAATTAGGTTGACCCCATCCAGTAAGAACTTCCTTTATAGAAATTTTTTCTAATGAAGAAGTCAGATCAAGTGTATATTTAAGCAACGGCTGTCTTTTGTGTGTGACTAAAGACATTACTCTTTATTGGTCCAAGTCAATCACACGAACTTGGTGCATAACAGATACGCGATAACCTTTTATAGATGAATTAATCAATTTTCAACAATCACAAGGCTTGTAAAAACTTCTGTACGTAAATTTCTTCTTTAAATTACTTGATTTGTGGGATAACTAGTCTCATGGACCATTCATGATTAATAATCACAGAATAAGATAAGTTTTCCATTCTTCTGTAGTGACTGTCCAGCTTAATTGTGATAGTATTCTGAAATTTCTTGTCCATGTAATACATCTTGTTCTTCCCATAAAAATTTCTTCTTAATACACATCAAGAACCCACTCAGATAGACTTCATCTTGGCAACAGTCAAAAATGTACAGAAGATAGTCTCATGGCCCATTCATGATTAATAATCACAGAATAAGATAAGTTTTCCATTCTTCTGTAGTGACTGTCCAGTTTAATTGTGATAGTATTCTGAAATTTCTTGTCCATGTAATACATCTTGTTCTTCCCATAAAAATTTCTTCTTAACACACATCAAGACCCCACTCAGATAGACTTCATCTTGGCAACAGTCAAAAATGTATCCAATGCCACATTCTATGATGAAATGTTATGCGAATAATCTTACTTGGAACCACACGACAGCTCATATGCTTTGCTTCAAAGCCCCCTTTTAAAAAAATAAAGTTCTCTTACATTTTTTTTTTCCTTGTTTTATTTCTCCTAAAGCATACATTTATTGCATTTTTTTGCAGGGATATTAATGCTTCTATAATACAAGCCACAATATTTAGCAGCTCCTCCAATGCCATAACATTCTTGTGGCCAATTGAAAGGCCATAACCAAAAAGGCTACCCATCAAGAAAAATTGTTGACTAAGTAGCCTGTTAAGGCCTGACAACTAAGAAGAAGAACAGACACAGACACAGACACATGACATGACACAACACAGACACGCAAATTTTCAAAAAATGCAAGATACAACAGGCAACAAGATCCATTATATTGCTTAACTTAAAGCATCAGGAAACATACATTGTGGAAAATATAACAAAGGCACTCAGGCATAAATCGAACATTTGAAGCTTCACCCCAGATAAGAAGATAAAGTCCAATGTAGATAAGCTCTAGTTGTTGACTATCATAACCCCGTGGAATCCTGCAACAGAAGCATAAAGATAAATAACAACTGAATAGAAAATTTTAGGTGTTTAAGTTGTAAAATATAGTATCTTATGAATCCAATTGAAATATACTTCAAAGGATTTAATAACTAGCAACAAGTTAATTTACCGAATATGTGATTTACAGTGCAAATAGTCACACCATGAACGATAGTTCTTGAAAAATTTATCCATCAGTTGTTGTACAGTGGCACCATCCAACTGCAATAAGTTTATTACCAATCTTCAAATTTTAAGATGTATGTTTTTTCTTACATATATAACCATATAAACATTACCCAGCCAAATAGTGAGATTTACCTGGACATAACTTTCATTATGCTTGTTTCTTACATCAATATTAGCAAGTAGCAATATTAAGTGCTCCCTCTGGTTTGCCACATTTCCTCTCTTCATTACCAAAAGATAAGAGATTAGTATATGGTCTGAAGGAATGATTTTTCTTATCAGTAGTTTGTATAATCTAAAACAAGATAAAATTGATGGTGATCAAAATCAAGGTAATAACATAATCCCTGTTAGTACCAAAAGTAGAGTTTCCATTTTTGTTTATGATTGTCCAATTATGTATAGGATATATCTTTGTCTCGGACCTATACATGTCTCAGCATAAGTCATCAAAAAAAACTGTATTTTGGGAATATATAGGATATATATATATTGTTTTATTTCATTATGTTAAGTATATTTGGGGAATACAGTTGAGTCTACAATTTAGTTAAGGTTATGGCATCCAATGTAAGGGGACTTATTTCTACATTATATCTTAGACCTACTTGTTTTAGATTAAAGTCTATGCAGTAAATTTCAACAGTTAGTCCTCCCCAGCAAAGTTGCTAGGAGAAAAGATATTTATAAATTTCGCATTATTATTAAATAAAGAGTTTGGGAGAGATGATGGAGACAAGATATCATATCTAACATTTTCCCCTTAGATGTACGAACCAGAAGCGAAGGCGGGGGAGGGAACAGGAACAGGAACAGGAACAGGAGTTGGGCCCGAGGAGCGAGGCAACATAGAAGAATCTAAGGTTGGGAACATTATATATTTTATATTATATAAATAAATTTTTTTTTTTTGTAATATATATGTTAAATATGAATAAATATTGGAGATTTGTGTCAACTGGAAATTGTTCTTATGTATATATTATGTAAAAACGAAGTAATAGAATAAATTTGTGAATTTTCCTACAGTCTGATGGTTGTTACATATTCTCTAGCTTTTCTTTTGTTTCTTTTGAGACACATATATTTGAGAGGTTCCATTCTAGTTGGGAACATGGTTATTTCTCAATGGTATATAGTTCTAACTAGATTCTTGCTCTGAATTGCAAAATTGCAGTTCTAGAGTGGATGCATATTCGACTAAGATTTTCCTTATTTCTCATTTTTCTTCATTGGATTTCACTTAAAGCCCCATGCCTGACGCAATAATAGGAAATAAGATTTCATTGTATTCTATGTGATTCGCCTAATATTTAACGGAAGATAAAAAGAAAAGAAAAGGAAAAATAACACATAACTTATGATGCAGAAATGGAATAAAAATAATGGCATTTAGACTACAAATTTACCTGAAACCCAAAAACAGAAGAAACCCAATCAAGAATATCAAAGGCAGATTTATCCTTGTCCTCAGGCATTGTTGGCATAGGAAGATTGTCCACATTACGCAGAGCATGAATAGCTGCTATGATCTAATTTTTCAACAAATTTTGGGATGGAAAAAAATAACAAGCACATTAGAATTCATTTCTTAGAAGAACTATCAACTAACAGTTGGAAGCCAACAAACTAAGATTACATGTGCAGCTTGTATACAACCTCAGGAAGTTTCATAATTGCCGGTTTGACCCCAACAGCATATAAAGGAAGAATATTGTAGTGTTCACCCTGTTTTTTTTTCTCCTCGACTTCTTTGGCATACCTTGCTGTCTGCATTTACAATATTGATTGAGCTTCCAAATTTAAAGTAAAATAACTTTCATTTGCATCATATGTTCTAAAAGATGGTATGAGGCTAGCAAAAGTATATAAATCAAACCTCATCATCAACTTTTTCAGCAGGTACAACTGTCAACAGCACATCATACAAAACCGTTGCAATCTGATAAATCTTAGCCATCTCCTCCCTTCAAGAGGTATGGAAGGCAACGAACAAGTTAAACATAATAGTAATAGACCATTTCCAAACAACATTTGGACAGATTAACAATTTAGATTTAAGCCTTACGGAGTTTTTGTATAATGGCTATCCTTGATGTTTTTCTCATAGAAATTTTGATAATATTTCTGGATTTCTCTTGGATCATTTCTTGTAAGCTTATGTTTTGTCTCCTCTTCTTCCTGCAACCAACACAGTTTGAGATGTATTAAAACAGTACATATTCATGGTTTTGTACGATTCTAACATCAATGGAGGTCGAATCATCCAAAAAGTTAATACAAAACCTTTCTGCCACACAGCACACTTGGATACCACATCATTTGGAGATTCCATACCTAAAAACATCTGCATAACCTTTCAATTCAAAGACAAGTTACGAGAACTTGAGATCATGTGAGTTATGATGCACCCAAACTTCAGGGTGTCCACAAATTTAAGGTGATTTAGAAAAAATAGAAGAGTTTACTGTTCACTAGTTACTACTATTCACCACCTGTGAAGAGTTCTTATTTTAGCCCCAAGGCTAACCCCAACAAGCCTTAATCAACCTTAAATCATTTTAGCTACCATTCACCTACAGTTAAACTCACAGATACCAGATTCAGTTGTTGCAAAATTTTTAGCAACACGATTCTGGAATCTAGAAATACGTCATTATTAAGAGCAAGTAAGTTCCAATCCTTCCCATTATCATAGTGCAACACCCGAAAAACCGTTAATTACCCACCACAAAATCAACCATAGACAGCATTTTTCTAAATTTCGCAGTGCACTCCTGCATCAGGATCCTGTGTTTTAAATCCTGACACGTCCTCAATAAAGTACATTACGTTCTAGAATAATCAGTTGTTAATGTTTGCAACACAAAAACATGATTATGCCCATATATTGTTTAATGAAGTAAAATAATATAAAGTACGAAGAACAAAACCTAAGCATTAATTTGATGGTTTCTTGACTTTTTTCACAATAAAGATGAGAATCAAACCCCCCATCCACTCCTTTATGTCAACTTAAACCACTGTATGTCAACGATTTCAGCATGGTTCCTTGACTATTGATAGTAGAATAGAGACAGAAAAAGACCGAGCCAACTCAGGTGTATCTTACATAAAATACACACTCTCTAATACATCGATTTGTGAAAGATACAAATTATATCATGAATATTAGGAACAAAAAATATATAGAAGTCAAACATATGAACAATAAGAAAAAGTAAAAAAGCCAAAAAGGGAGGGGAGGGAGCCATAAAGTAGGGGGGAAAGCAGAAAGCAAAAACAAAAACAAAATGACACAAATTTCAATTATTATCAGGTCTACCTTTTCAAGTCTATGTAACAGGTAGGTCTTAAATTGGCGAACCCCCCGTCCAACCGATTTTGGATCCATCTTATGAGCTTTCTCAAATGCATGGAAGCGACCTAATCCAAAAAATAAATAAATTTCCAACATAACAAGAAGAAAATATCAGTTAGTGATATCCACAAAACACCTAGTTCAGTCTAATGTTCATGCTAAATACCAATATTCAACCTAGCAACATATAAATGCATAGAATGTTATGAAAATAAAAAGTCTCTACATTTAAAGAAAAAAAAGGGTAAAAAAATGATTAGTCAACATTTTTTGTCAATTTAACTGAAAGGAAAATTACGTCTATAAAGTTATGACTCTAACCAACATAGTGATGGGAATCTCGTAAACCATTATACCTATTTTAGATAGATTTCTTGTTTCTTTTTTTATTGGCGAAAGTCAGTAGTTAGTTGTTAGATTAGCACCTATGGAAGTTGAACTCACACCCTCTCCTTGCAAGCACTTAGAGCATGTTTGGTATGATGGAATGAGATGGAATGGAATGTCCATTCTAACTTTGCATTCCCTTGCCCTTGTTTGTTTGGTACGCCTTATCTCAATGGGAATAACCATTCCATTGGAATGGCTATTCCAACAAAATGTGGGAATGCCTATTCCTTCCTCCAACCTAAGGAATGGCCATTCCATTCTATCATGGAATCACCATAAAATTTTATTTTATTTTATTTTATATTTGTTGGCACTTAAAAAAAATATTATCATTTAGCTGGCACCACCATTTCCTTCACCTACAACCCATTCCACCACCACCACCCTATTGCCACCACAACCACCACAGCATCGTACTACCGATGTCACCATTACTACCACCACCACTACCGCCACAACCGCTACCACCACCACCACTATCACCATCGTTAGAACCATGGTTGTTGAAATCGTGATCCGGATCATAGGATCGTACGATCTACAATTCTACTTTGCCAAAACGATCCAGATCGTTGTAGGATCAATGTTATAACAGGATCGCAAGTAGAATCGTGTAGAATCGCATGGGATCGTATGGGATCGTATAGGATCGTAGATTTTATGATTTTTCACCTTATTTTTAATATGTATCATTTTAATTTTTATTTTTATCTTTTTTTTTAATAGAAAGTGGGATTTTACCATCCTCGATCCGATCTTACGATCCGATCCACCAGACCCTCTCACCGATCCTACTTAGGATTCCGATTTTAACAACTTTGGTTAGAACCACTGCCTTACTACCACCACTGCCTCTACTGCCACAACCACTACCTTACCACCTTCATAAACATCACACCACCATCATCACCATCGCAACCACACCACCACCACCACCACCACCACCAACGCTACAACAACCTACCACCACCACTAGCACCATCCTACTATCATTGTTATCACCACCACCGATGCCTCCACTGCCACCACCACCACCACTACCACTACTATGACTCCCACCATCACTTCTACAACTATCAACAATATCATGATCTATATAAATTTTTAATTTATTTGTTATTAGCTTGTTTAAAAAAAAATAATAAAAACGTATTCTATTCCATGAGTTTAATAGGCATAACCAAATATGAGAATGAGAACTATCATCCTATTCCCATGTCATTCCATGTTGACAACGAAACAATGAAATGGGAATGGATATTCAATTCCATTCAACCTTGTGTTCCATTCTCATTCTCATTTTATTCCCACCTCATTTCATTCCATCGTACCAAACATACTCGTAAGTCTTGCCTCCCATTCTACTCGTAAGAGTGGAACCCATAACCTCCCTTAGGAGAGGCTTGGTGGCAAAGGGCTAGCTACACAAGCTACAATCCCTTGGTTATATATATATACACACATAAAGTGGAGCACTGTAACCAAGTTCCCATGTATCAATTTCTCATATAAAAAAAAAAAAAATTAAAAATCTCTCCCCCATATATCTTCTATCCCTCCTTCGTAAATATTTGCACTCTCATTATTATCCAAAAAACTTTATTAATAACCCTTCTTTCTCCCCCCATAAGAGCATCCCCAATGGTATGCTATATCACTAGAAATTGCCAAAATTTGGTAGGAGAACAACATAAAAGGGTTTTTCAACAGCAAATATGGCATTTGGTCACCACAGCAAATATGGCATATGGCATTAGTTATATCACTTGAAAGAGCAAGTTTGGTCACCACAGCATTTCTCTTGCCAAATTATGGCATTTCGGGTACTATGGTGCACCCAAATATGGGTTTTTCAACATAAGCAAATATTTCTAGAATTTCAACAAACATAAAACAATATTCAATATTCCAAAAACCATAAAAAAACATTCAGCATTCCGAAAACTTCTCAAAATTAACATTCAACCTTATTTTACCCAATACTATCGCTTGCTTAGTTAGGTTTTTCAAAAAACACTTTTTAGAAAATTCTACTTTCTTGTTTTCCGTGTGTTTTTGTTTTTACTGAATTTTTTTTAATATTTTAAGCAATTTTTTTTGCTTTTTAGACATAGCTAACATAAATATACCTAAAAAGTAAAAAATTTGTGAAAAAACCTTTTAAAAATTCACTAAATACCAAAAATACAAAAAAAAATAAGAAAATTCAGTACATTTTTTGTATTTTTATGTATTTTTTAATTTTTTAAAATATTTTTTTCCAAATTTTTTACTTTCTAGATACATCTAAGTAAGGTGCATCTTAAAAAGTAAAAAAAATGTTTAAAATTTTAAAAATATTCAATAAAAACAAAAAAAATATGAAAACCAAAAAACTCAGTTTTCAAAAAACTTAAACCAAAAAACTCAAACCAAACACACTGATTTGTTTTCCTTCATCAATTTATTGACGCGATTCACTCGCACCATATAGTCCTACCTTAGTGGTTTTGATTTTAAAATGGGACCAAATTACTTGATAACTTCAATCATTGATCGGAAACTGTCATAATTCACTACATTGAAAGGAATCCCGAAGTAATATATCCATCTTATAATCCCAAAGCTTTTGCTCGATGCCTAAGGCTTTTCTTATATGAAAATTAGGGCTAAAAGCATGTGTCTACATTTTATATTAAAGGGGGTAGTGATTCCCTGTGGCTACACACACAAAGAATAAGGATGGTGCAAAATTTTAAATGAAATGCATGAGGCATGCACCTCACACTTGAGCCTAAGGGGCATCCCACAACGCCTCGCCTCAAGCTATCCGAGGTGCATCAGGTGCGCCTCACACTTGAGCGCATGCTTGGGCAGGCCTTTTAAAACACTGCCTAGAACTCCACTGCCAAATTTTGGATTAGCACACCTCACAAAGTGACTATCGACCTCGCAAGGGAACGTGTTGCTTGCGTGCTCGGGTTTAGCTCTATACAATTTGTCAACAACTTGAATTGAGTGAGTCAACCAACTCAATGACTTTTGGTCCCATTTTGTTTTAGTCCAAAGGCAATTGGATTGGACTATCAATCCGGTGGGTTCCGCATAAATCATGTTTGTTTTGGAACAATGCCTGGGACTAACAGCCCATCCTGTCTAAGGGGTATTAGCAATCCCGTCTAAGGGGGGAAATACCATTATATCCGGCTTTACAAAAATAACGAAACAAACTAATATCACCGTACTACTGCACAAATAAACACAATTTCTCTTACATCTCCAATCTAATACCACCACACTAATAATCCCCTCGATCACCCAACAATACCAATCTCACTCAATACCAATGTACTAATAATAATTCCATCTAATCTAACCCAGAAAACAGACAGACATGATCCGAATTGGTTAAATAAAAATGAAACAATTCAATTTGCTCAACCAAATACAGTTAACTAAACTTTCCAAAGCATCATAAATATCACTGGAATCACCAGCATGTACATTTGATATGATTAACAACAACATTCACTTAAAAAAGCAAAATCAAAATCAAGACAGAGAGACAGAGTGTAAAAGAGGGCTTGGGCTTTCTCACAGATATAAGCAACCCTAGGGTTGTCCTTCTCGACCTCATTAGCAACACGGAGGATGGGTGCGATGGCCGCAAGCGAGGACGGCACAAGCTCACTGTCAATGGCGCTGCTGTCGTCGGCGTTGGGGTCAGCCATTGTCTGAGCCATCGTCACCCGCCTCGACAACGATTTCTTTGGACCAACATCGCTCTTGCTTCCGCTCGAACTTGCCATTTTCGCTTCGAAGCCAAAACAGCAATCTCTGCTTCTCTCTTTCACTCTCAAAGTCCTTGTAAACAACAATCATTATCAAATTTATTATACACATATATATATAAAGACACACACACACACACACACACACAGATTCTTTGTTGCTAAGGTGGGGCAAGAGGTGGAAGCTTTCGCTTTGGCTTTTGCTTTGGCTTTTGGTTTCTCCGATGGCAAGTAAAGAATGAGAAGAGATTTGGCAACTTTCTCTGTGGGAGTGCGAAAACACTGTGTTGGTTTTTGTGCTTTTGCTTTGCTGCGAAGAAAGGCAGTAGTGCAATGCTTGCTTGCCTTCTTTACTTTTTCTTATTTATAAACACAAGTGAAAGAAAGGCACCGCTTTTTCTAGTCCAGTCTCGGTGCCGGACGCTTTTTCTCATTATGCATGCATCTTTTATAATTAAAATAAAATAAAATTTTTAAAAATAGTTAAATTACACTGACCACCCTCCCTCAAGTTAGACAAAACACAATCACTCTCTGTTTGGTTTTCATATTTTAAAAATTATTTTTTTATTTTTTTATTCTTAATAAATTTTTTGATATTTTTATTCAATTTTACTTTTTAGACCCAACACTTACAGAATAAATTTTTTACAAAAAAAAATAAAAAAAATTAATAATTTTGATAAATACAAAAGGTACTGACTGTGTTTGGTTCCATTTTTTAAAAAACAGTTTTCAGAAAATTCTACTTTCTTATTTTTCCTATTTTTTTGTTTTTACTGAATTTTTTTAATATTTTATGCAAATTTTTTACTTTTTAGACACACCTAACATAAATACACCTAAAAAGTAAAAAAATTGTAATCTGCATTCTATCATATTAACTTGCATTCATCCTATCCTACATTCATCATTCATAATCCAAATAAGAAAATCCTACATTAAAAATTCAACATTCATCATTCCTAACCTCCAAAAAAAAAAAAAAAAAAAAAAGGAGAAATTTTTTATTAATTAAAAAATTTCCAAAATCCAAAAAAAAAAAAAAAAAAAAACAAGAATTCAGTACATTTTTTATATTTTTATGTATTTCTTAATTTTTTAAAAGATTTTTTCACATTTTTTTTACTTTTTAGATACATCTAAGTAAGGTACATCTAAAAAAGTAAAAAAAATGTTTAAAATTTTAAAAACATTTACTAAAAACAAAAAAACACGAAAACTAAAAAACTCAGTTTCTAAAAAACTTAATCCAGGAAACTCAAACCAAACAATTTTTATTTTTATTTTTTGTATTTAGTGATTTTGTTAAAGATTTTATTCATAAAACTTGTACTTTTTAAATGTATTTAAATTAAGTAAATCTAAAATGTAAAAAATTAAGAATTAAGAATTTGATTAGAATATTAAAAAGGTTGACTAAAAACAAAAGAATATATATTGAAAACTCAAAAAAATATTTTTGAAAACTCACAACTAAACAGAATGAATAATCCCAAAAATTTCACATATTATATTGAATTTCCTTCAAATTTTAAATATTGACAGATGATTTTTTTTGGCATAAATTTTAATCAAGTTTTTGAACCTCCTCCGGCTGAATCTTATGCAATAACTAATTCTTCTTAATAGCTCTTGATGGTAACAATAAGAGCTTCAGTGGTTGGTGCTAAGAACAAATAAGGTAGCATTTGGTTAAAAATTAGAATTATGATTTAGATCAAAAAAATTTAAAACTCATTACTAAATAAAGTTTTCATAACTCTTTTTAAAACTCATAATCAAACTCTTTTCAAAACTTAATTTTAAAAAAAATATATAAAAATATTTTTCATTTTGTTCTTTAAAAAAAATCCAAAATTTTTTTTTTATTTTTGAAGAAGAATAAAAAAAATATTTAAAATAAAAATTATATATTTAAAATAAAATAATAATTTTAAAATATTTGAAAAAAATAGCGCACAAATGTAGTAATACAGCACACATTAAAAAAATAAATATTTACATATTTTTTTCAAATATTTACTATAAAAAAATAAAAATAAGAAAATTTTTAAAAAAATTAATTTAAAATAATTTCAAAATACAACTCTTTTCAAAATTCATAATCAAACAATTTTTTTCTTTTTAAAGCTCATTTAAAAAACTCAAAACTTCAAATCATGATTCAAAAACTAAACCAAACGGAGGCTAAATTATTGTAGTTAATATTTACGGGAAAGTTGAATTCTAAAGCATAACGTGAGAACCCAATAAATAAATAAATAATGATAATAATAATAATTTTAAAATCTCTAATATTTTGCTTGTAAATCTTAAAGTGCAAATTAAATATTATTAGATGGTCTTTTAATTAATTTAAACCTAAAATAATTTTTTGGTAAAAGTCTTTAATTTATAGGCAAGATTTATTATTTTTTAAAAAAAGACAAATTAGTATATTTTGATCTAATAAGAGTTTATTTTATTTGAATTAATGGAGAGAGAAAAAATAAAATAAAATTAGAGTAAATTGGTGATAAATTCAATCTAAAGAGGGTATAAGGCATTAAGTTCAATGGATATTTTTTGTTGGTGATAGGTCCATCATTTGTGAAATGGTTTGGTAAGAAACCCTTTTGTTGATTTTGAAGGATATTTTATTTCTAATTTTACTCCTTAATTTGCCTGTCAACTTTTTTTATCCGTTGGTTTTTTTTTTACTATCTGTTCAAATTATTTTCTATCTATTAAAAAAAATTGATTATTTGTTCAAATTTATATATATCTATTGAAATTTTTTTCATATCTGTTCAAAATCTGTGAGGTTCTCTCTATTTGTTTAAAAAATACAACGATTTGACCTATCTATTCAAAAATTTTATTTGTTTAATTTTTTTTATTTGTTGCATTTTTTCTCTGTTCAAATTTTTATCCCAAAATATTTTATCTGTTCAATTGGTCTATCCTACCCTCTACCCAGAAACATGTTTTTGAACTGATCTTGGCCAACGCTGTTGATTGTAAAAAAAAATTGTGAAAACATTGGATCCATGATAGGTTGAGACAAGATTAATATTAATAAATAATACACAACTCTTAAGTCGGCAATGGCTTCCTCGTATGAACCTGTCTCTCTTAAATCTATGAATGCTATCTATTCAAAATCCTGGAAGACGTTCATCATCATCAACAAGAAGACTTTCAAGATATGAGCCTTGAATACATATGTAAGCCTTCAACAATAGCAACAGAGATAAAAAAGAAAATTTTGACGTCAATACTAGGGCTGAACAAGGAATTCGTGAAATCCGTAATCCGATCAAGTCTAGTCCAATCCAGTAGGTTTGGATTAGTTTTTTGAATCCGTGGTTCGGTTCTGGATTGAAAAATTAAAAATCTGTAGTTCATGGATTGGTTTCGGATTGAACCCCACGGTTTCGAATTGGAACCGATCTGGACCATATACAAATAGTCTATATTTTTATTATACACCTTCTGCATAGTATCTTCTCTTATTTCATATAAAACTTAAATCCAAACTAAACTTGCATAGTATCTTCTTTTATTACTTTTGTTTGCTAATTTTTAGTGTTAATTTGTAATGGTCTAAATACTTATGGTGGAACTAGTTTTCTTATGGTTGTTTAAATTCTAAAACAGCTTATCGTTATTACGAAAAGACATGTTGCTATTGTGAAACTAATATGGTGTTATATTTATATTTTTATGAAATTAAAGTGTTATATATATATATTTTGTTATTTAATTATGTAAATCCGTGGTCCTAAACCGATCCAATCCGTGTTTAAATGGATTGGTTCGAATTGGTTCCACGATTTAAATGGATTGGATTGGTTCCAATTTTTCAAGATCTGTAAATAACGGATTGGTCCTGCTTTTACTCCAATCCGGTCTAATCCGGACTATGCTCACCCCTAGTCAATACATATTCAGATCTTTACATATCTACGTCTATACACACACATATATATATAACACATGTAAAACCCTATATCTGAGATATAAACACATGTCTATACAAACACACACACACACACACACACACACGTATATTAGATCTGACATTTAGCACAAGCTTTGTCGCCAAAGTTCATGGGAGGGAGATAGAGGATCGCGAGGATCTAAGATTTAACACACTAACATGTTATATAAAATTCAGCTTTGAAAAAACCCTAACTCTCTTTCTCATTCCGCCGCCGCAACCCCGCCTGAGACGATGACCATCGCCTCGCTGACCTCCTCTTTGACCTCGCCGCCCACCACCTCGCCTGAAAAGAGATCCACAGATGTAGATTTGTCACCGTCCCTCTTATCTCAGCACAAGTAGAACTCGTTAGGTCACGACGGATCACCGCCGTGCTTGGCGGCAATACATGATGAGTCGTTTTACACACCAAAACTAATACTAAACTGTACCAAATTTGTCACACCCCAACATTTTAATTAATTGAAAACATTACCAAAGCCAGTAATTTAGGTTCTTTTTTTTTTTTAATGTATACCTATTGCCCTTGGGTCATAAAAACATAATAATACATCTTCTCTCTCTCATTGAAAACAATAATGTAATAATACATGCCAAGCTTCTGCTGCAAAACTACAAATAAATAATTACAAACCACAAGATACATTTTTCATTCCTTTAACATCTATGATAAAATTATACATAAAAGGTACATGGAATCCATACTATTCAACTAATGAATTCGAAATTCTCTTCCTGAAAAGAATAAAACAACGAGGGGTGAGCACTAATGCCCAGTAGGAATCTCATAGTTCTACAACAATAGCTAACACATAGATAGAAATGATCATGTATGCAGAGTGATACCATATAGTAAGGTCTCATTTTGTAAGTTCAAAATATTATACGAAAAGTATCTTTTCTTAAAATTTCACTTGAACCTTTAAGAAAACTCCCTTCCATAAATGTAGTCTCTCATCATTAGAAAGCCATAAATTCTCTTTGAAAACAAGTACACTTAAAGAAGAATATCATCTTAAATTTATTAACTCGATTCCAAATTATTCCTCATTTCATTTCCATTTTAATATTCCACATTTCATTTCCATTCTAATATTACACATTTCATTTCCATTTCCAATTGCCATACTCCATAACATCAAAATCCAAAGGATTAGAGTTCAAACATAACATAAGAATCACAAACCCTTTTTAATTCAAATTCCCAATTACTTACAAAACAAAGCTCATAATCTTCCCTTTTGTCACAAGCAATCCATTGAGTTCATCATCACTAGTCCCTAATCCAATTACCCACATGATGGCAATTTCAATCCTTGATCCATTTTCCTTCAGTTAATT